CATGCATGTAGTTTTTTTTTAACATGTACTTTTTGTAACTGATTGTTAGACCCTCTCATAGGCATGAATCTCAAAAAGTTTTCTGTCGAAGTAAGCTTATCCTTCGATTTCATTTCCCAGTCCCTTTCAAGTAACACAGCGCAAGGAACAATGGAGTCCCCACATGGACTGGACATCAGTTTCAGGATCCCGAGTGTCACTCATCCTCACCCAGTGGTGCCTTCAGCATGCTATGAAAAGCTGTGCTTGTCCTCACTGGATTGAAATGAGGGGCTATATACATCACCAAGAATGCGATTTGGTTTAAAACCCAAAGGGAGTTCCTAAGGAAATGTGTTCTGTTGACTTCATTAAAGATGTGTTTGTTTGAAAGGTGGCATGACAGGAAGAGATAGGGACAGAGAAAGAGATCTTCCATGTCTAGTTCATGACCCCTCCTCCTGCAATGACAGCTGGGACTAGATGAATCTAAAGGTAGGTTTCTGGAACTCCATCTTGGTCTCCCCCTTGGGTTTCAGTCAATCGGGTACTTGGACCATCATCTACTGCCTTCCCAGCTAATGTGGCGGGGAGCTTGATCACAGGAAGAGCAGCTGGGAACTAAACCTGCACTCCTACATGCCTTACTGGCGTCGTATGTAGTGAGTTCTCTCACTGTGGTGCCTGCACATGGCACTTTAGATTCTAAATGTATGAAATAGCAGACACTACCACCTAGACCTGTGTCATAGGCTCACATTCTAATCTTAATTGGGCTTTTAAGGGGTTTACACATGCTGTTTCCCCAAGCACATATATTGTGTCCAAAACTCAGTGGCCCCAGTTCCCACTCCCTAAGCACAGCTGTTATGGTTAGGCGGGTCACATAGGCAGAGTGGTCATAAACACAGGGAAGACACAAACCTGCCTCAGATGGTGGGTTTCACAAACACTCAGGGTCTAGGTAGGTCAGGGGTGGGGTAGAAGGCAGGATCCCACCTGGGCAGGGAAGGAGCTAAGTCCTTGACTTTATATTCACTGGGGCATGGGTTTCTGTTTCATCTTGGTAGGAAAGGGGGGATCCCGAGTACCCTGTATTATACACAAAATGTGGTCCCTCAGGCTCCATGGCACAGGGTGGCCATGGCCCTCCCCCAGACAAGCAGAAAATGCACTTGCCCTGGAAGCCCTGGACAGGCCTACCCCACACAGTTCCTCTGTTCCCATGAACACGTACAGAGAAGCCAAGAAATCTGAGGGGTGGGTGAGAAAGTTTTTGGAACATAACAGGCAGCTCCAGTGGACACATGCTGCCCTTAGCAGTCGATGCTCTTCCCTTTGAGAGCTATCCCAGCCCCTCCCCTGAGTGGAGCTGTGAGTGAGAGCAGCACCTTTCCCATGTCCCCTCAGCGTCAGAGATGCCCCCTTATGGCTCAGTCAGGCGCACCAACCTCTTGAACTGTTGATAGCATCTGTGCTCCCTCCAGTAGGTGGCCAAGCAAGAGCAGAGCCTACAAAATCCTTTGGTGATAATGTCTGTGTTGGTCAGCACCTCCTCAGTTGCGTTGTGGTAACACACTCCAGGCAGCTATGGATTCCAGCAGCCAAGGCTCCTTCATGGTTTTATTTTGTCTTGAATGTTTATTGCTTTTTTGAAAATCTGACAGAGATAAGGGGAGTCAGAGAAGGGAGAGAGAGAGAGAGAGAGAGAGAGAGAGAGAGAGAGAGAGAGAAAGAGAAAGAGAAAGAGAGTCTTTTATCTGTTGGTTCACTCCCCAAGTGGCCACAGTGTCAGGGGTCTTCCACATGGGTAACAGAAGCCAAGGTTCTTGGCCCACTCTTGGCTGCACTCTCAGGCACATTAGCAGGAAGCTGGATCAGGACCATGATTTGAATCAGTACTCTGATTGTGGGATGTTGGCTTCACAAGCAGTGGCTGAGCTCATTGTGCCTTTTTACTGGCCGTTCAAGAACCAAAGTTTCCTTATTGCTCTTAAGTCTGACATTGGGATCAAAGGGTTTTGGTCCTCCCTCCTCGCAGAGGTACCACAGGACTTATGATCACACTCCGAGTCAACAGGTATGACAATGCATCAACTGGTTGGTGTAAATGCAGAACAATGACAATCATGTTAGCTATCACAGAGAAACTGTCTCAAAAATGCTATTTGAATGGGTCAGTGAGTGAACATACTGCCTGCACCCATGGCTGGGAAGGCTACGGGACCCATGGACAACTTCTTGGGAGGTGGCCACCCCTGGCAACAGTGACTGAGCTGGATGAGCTCATAATTCCATCTGGTTCCACCCCAGGGCTTTGCTGTTCGACAGCTAGGTGTACAGAAAGAGGTTCACTTTCATGTAGGATTTCCAAACTGGGAAATGGGAAGCTGCCTTTCAGGTGGCGAAAGCCTGTATGTTTAGAATAAAGCCAAATGGAGAGTGGAGATGGTTCTGTGTCCTGGAGAGCTTCAACCTCATTCCTAATGCTTGTTTACTAAATGTCACCCTGGAACCTATGAGGCATTTTAGGCATAGATTTAAAAATTGTTTTTTTTTTTTTCTCTCAATCTCACTGTTATTTGTTGATTCTGATGTTGGGTGAATGGAGACCATCCTGGATAATGGAAGTTCTGTGCTGTGGGCTACCTGGACTAACATAAACTGTGTGGGTTTCTGTTTCTTCTGACCCAATGCCTACCTTTCCAGCCCCTTCTTGGACATGCTAGCCCTACATGCATGCTGGCCCTTTCCCGGCATGCCCGCTGCTGCTTGTTGCCTTGAGCCTTCAGGGATGCTGTTTCTAGCCCCTTGGGACAAAGCCCTCATGGGCCTGCAGACTCGTATTTACACTTTCTCTTCTGGAGAACAAGGAACACGTGTTCATGGGTTGACAAGGGTACCTCAGAAAGTCTGTGCAGAAATGGAACTGAGGGAAGGTGTTTCTCAGGTCAATGTTTTTAACCAAACATGGCTTCCATAATATACATTTTCACCAACTCTTTTAAGACTACTTCTTCTACACATAGATTTTTGATTTCTGTACCAACAGAAACATATCTTTTGACCCTATTTTTCCATGGAAAATTTGAAATATCTTCATATATATAATTTTATATTTGTATTATATATTATTTTATTTAAAAGATGAAGAGGAGAGACAGAAAGGTTTTCTAACTGCTAGCAAACAAAACCAGGTTAAAACCAGGAGCTCAGAACTCAATCCAAATCTCCTCTGTGGGTGGCAGGGACACCATCCCTGGAGTCATCCTCTGCTACTCCCAGGACACAGCTTGGCACGCAGCTGGAATCAGAAGCAGAGCTTCAACTTGGACCAGACATCCAGGTATGAGATGATGGTCACCCAAGTGGCATAACCATGGCAGCAAACACTATCTCCCAGGCCATAAGCAGAGAGCTGGATGGAAAGTAGAGCAGCCAGAACATGAATGAGCACCAATATGGGATGTTGGTCCCACAAGCCAGAGGATTAGCTTGCTGCACAGTGGACTGGCCCCAAGTCTTTTTATTTTTAACTGAAATGGGTAGTAGGAATTAATACAAAGTGAGATATGTATAAATTATTGAATGTTCTTCTGTGCATTATAATAGGTGTTTACTTTTAATCAAAGTAATCGAATATTTATTTGCTATTTTCCAGAAGCCTGTTAGATTCAAAAAGGTAAGGGTCACTTTGATAATGCTCAGTAGTTTTCCTCCAGAAGAGGTGTAGTCTGGTGATTCAGATAATGGCCTGGGTGTCATAGAGACCAATTATAGGATGTGGGCTCCAAAATGTATTGTCTCTTAGAGTAACTTACATGATCATATTTGATATCTTGTTAGAAGTCAGTTTAAGGACATTGTGTCAGGGATACTACTGAGTATTCAGGAAAGGCTAATGATAATAAATTTTTTTTAATAGTACTCGAAAAACATTAGTTGAAAAAGAACTGTCTCTGAAAACCAAATAAAGCAATTCCAAGAGATAAAAACACTTTGCCTTCCTCAGGGAAAGTAATCTCTGAGGAAATGAGAGATTCTCTAGGGGGAGACCTTGTCTTATTAGTCACATCACTGCTAGTTGTAATTAAGAATAAAACTCTAATCCCCTATCATTTGCCTAGGAGGAAAAGGTGCCATCCCCTTCCTAAAAGCAGGAAGAGCCATCGGGCAGATCAGTACCCTCAAGTCTCGTTCTTCAGTGCAGAATGAGAGATAGATTGGAGATGCTGTTCCTTTGATCTGTCTGTGGGGTTGAGAATTCAGAGTTCATAGCTGCATCTTCCATCCAAAGGTCATTTTCCTTCCCAGGACAATTTGGACAAGACATGAGGAGTATAGCATTACAGCTGTAAACAAAGGAAGGTCAGTGTCACTATGGCCCTGGTTAGTTAAGTCTTGTAATGTGGTTACAAGCACGAAGCACAAGAATCGGATCACTCAAGTTGATCTTCTGGCTGCAATTCAATAGTTTTGGGACTCAGTGTTAGTTACTTTAGCTCCATCATTTTATCTGTAAAATGGGGATAATGAAATGGCTTTATTGTTCTCAAAATAAAGCCTCACACAATAACTACTAAATAAATGTTGACTTAAATATTATTCTTAAACTGACAGCCAGTTAAGCTAATAGATCCTGGAAATGGATGACCTTCCCTCCTCGATCAGAGAGTGTGTACCGGGAGGTGGAGGCTCTGAGCAGAACCACAGTGCGTTTTGCCAACAGGGCTTGCTGTAGCAAAGAGGCCCACGTTCCAGCAACTGAACAGAACAGGAGAGGGAAGGGCACAGTGATGAGACCGACTTGACCACTCTCCTCAACACTACCAACCCTCATTCTGAAGGAAATAACCTTGTATCGTTTGCTTTGCTGCCATCCACAGCAAATGTCAAGCACTTTCTGCCAAAGTTCAAGGTTTTTTGTGTGCATCACTTTTTCAGAAACAGGTACCAGGTAGGTAGCAGTGAAGTGTCTTATTTGTTCTCTTCTCTTCTTACAGACCCTGCTTTCCCTCCCACAGAGGAGAATGACAGCCAAAAACTCCTCTGTGACGGAGTTCATCCTCGCAGGCCTGACGGACCAGCCAGGGCTCCAGGTCCCCCTCTTCTTCCTGTTTCTAGGTTTCTATCTGGTCACCATGATGGGGAATTTAGGTTTGATAATCCTGATTGGATTGAACGCTCACCTGCACACCCCCATGTACTTCTTCCTCTTTAATCTATCCTTCATAGATTTCTGCTATTCTACTACAATCATCCCAAAAATGTTGACAAGCTTCATCTCAAGGAAGAACACCATCTCCTATGCCAGGTGCATGGCTCAACTCTTCCTCTTTTGCTTCTTCGTCATCTCTGAGTCCTTCCTCCTGTCAGCTATGGCATACGATCGCTATGTCGCCATCTGTAAACCATTGTTGTACACAGTCACTATGTCTCCCCAGAAGTGTTTGCTCCTTTTGTTGGGAGTCTACGGAATGGGCTTCACTGGGGCCATTGCCCATATAGGAAGCATATTGAGCTTGTCCTTCTGTGCTGACAATTTTGTCAACCACTTCATGTGTGACCTCCTTCCTCTCCTTGAAATATCCTGCAACAGCTCTTATGTAAATGAGCTGGTGGTTTTTGTTGTTGTAGCCATTGGCATTGGGGTACCTGTATTCACTATCTTTGTTTCTTATGCACTCATCCTCTCCAGCATTCTTCACATTCATTCCAGTGAAGGCAGATTCAAAGCTTTCAGTACCTGTAGCTCCCACATGATCGCTGTTTCTTTATTCTTTGGTTCTGGTGCTTTCATGTATCTCAAACCGCCTTCCACTTTTCCTCTTAAGCAAGGGAAAGTGTCCTCCTTGTTCTACACCGTTGTGGTGCCCATGTTAAATCCAATAATCTACAGTTTGAGGAACAAGGATGTCAAAGTTGCTGTGAGAAAAACCTTGTACAGAAAGATGTCTCCCTAAATGTAGAAGCATTTGAGGAAAGAAAAACGATGGTCTGATGCATGTATGTGTACCTTCTAGCCAGTTATTTTTGTCCTCTTCAATTTCATTAACAATTTAAAACTTTAATTAGGTTTTTTCCTGCTTGGTTTTTTGGAAGTTACTGGAAAAGAAGTTGCTTTCTTGATTTCTTATTGGTTTATTACAATGCTGCTACTTTTTGTACATTGACTTTGTATTCTTTAGTTTTGCTGAACTCATTTATTTGTTATAACAGATTTTTGTTGGATATTTGGGATTTTCTATGTATAAATTTATTTTCATGCACACAGTGAGAGTTTGGTGTTTTCCTTTTCAACTTCCAATACTCTCTTTCTAACTCTTGCCTAACTACTTGCTGGTATTTCCAGCACTATAGTGAGTAAAAGCAATGAAAGTGTCTTATTTTGGATGTTAGAAAAGTTACCAGCTTTTCCTTATGTAATATAATATTATATTCTGTCTTATTTATTATCTTGGCATATATTTCTTCTATAATTAATTTGGTTAGTTTTAATATGAAACCATATTGTGTTTTATCAAATATTTTTTGTCTGAATTTTAATAGATCATCAGCATATGTGATCATATAGTTTTGTATTTCATTGTATTGATGTTGGGTATTGATTTAGATATATTGAATTATACTTGTATTCCTGGGATGAATCTCACTTGATCATGGTGAATGATCTTAACGTATTGCTGGATTCAATTTGTTAGTATTTCTTGTGGATTTTTGCATCTGTGTTCATCAAGGATAGTGACCTGTAGCTTGCTTTTTTTGTTGTGCCCTTGTTTGGTTTTGTATTCATTGACCTCAGAATGAATCTGAAATAGTTCCCGTCTCTTATATGTTTTGAGATAATTAAAAAATTGATATTAATTCTCATAAAAATTCCTTATTTTATGACACAGTTTAATAGGCATTGGAGCTCCCCTCCCTCCCCTTGTTCTCCTCTCCAGTCTTTCAATAGGTGTCTTTTGAGTACTCACAGAATTGATATTAAATCTTAAAATTTTTATAGAATTCAGCAGTGAAGTTATATGGTTCTGTCTTTTATGTGATGGGAATTTTTTTTTTTAAAGTATCCAAACAGTCCCACTATTTGTTTTTGGTGCGCTTAGGTATACAATTTGCTCATGACTCACACTCCTAATATGCCACTTTTTCCCCAAGAAGATAAGAGATGAAAACTTTTCTTAGGTTAGTTTTGGCCAAATGTGTTGTGACTATGATATATTGGTGGCTTTGGGATAGTATTGACATCATGCATGGAATCCTGAGATCTCACTGTGGTAAACTGGGACTTCTAATTGTTTACATGTTATAAAGATGTTGAATGAGAAATTATAGTTTTTATAAAACACAGAGTCAGAATTTAGAAAATTTTTAAGTATTGGTTAGAGTATTTGAGCTAAGATGGAGAAAGCTATGCCTCAACAAAGGATTTAAAGTTGTTAAGCAGCAGGAATTAATTCTGGGTATCTAGTTCATTATGAGTGATGCAGCAAGCAGTTGCTTATTAGAAGAGGTAATTCCAGGATGAGAGTGTGACACTTATTAAGTGCCTGTTTGAAGTGCTTGCATCCCGTGTTGAAGTGCCTGGCTTGCGTTCCAGCTGCTATGCTTCCAGTTCAGCTTCCTGCTAATGCCTGCCTGCTCTGAGGAAGCAGTAATGGCCCAACGGCTTGGCTCTCTGCCACCCAATAGGGAAGCCTAGATCAAGTTCTGGCTCCTAGCTTAGCCTGTCCCAGCCCTGGCTGCTGTGGGCATTTGGAGAGTGAACAGTGGAAAGGCAAGCTCTGTGTCTGCATTTCAAATAAAATGAAAATAAATAAATTTTGAAAAGAAAATGATGATTTACATAAAATTTTAGGTGCTACACATACAACTGAACTTCTCACATAGATAGTATGTGCAAAACAGTTATTCCATCCAAGGACTGGTTTGTAAACCAATATTGTTTGAGATAAGAAGGTTTATAGACACAGATAATTTGATCTAAAGGATTTCTTAGTTTAAAGGACACTTTTTTTTGGCAAAGTACTAATATTTCAAACACTAGGAAACTTTAAACTTCATTTTGAGAATATATATATTTTTTTTCCTTTGGGGAAAAAGAGAAATTTGGAGGATGACTAACTAGATGCATATTTAGGGGCTTTTAACTGTTCGGGATCTTACTCTGCTAGCTTTGCCTTCAGACCAGGGAAGGCCTCCCCAAGAAGCTGTTGAATGTTATCAGGACAAATAGATGCTGGACTCAATGCTGGGTGTGTGCTTGCAATGAAGGAATCTCAACTGAACTTGAACTGTGGTTATGCCCCATGGAGGGAGGGTTGTGGGAAGAGTGGGGGGAAATCCAAGCACCTATAAAACTGTATCACATAATACAATGTTATTAACAATAAAAAAATAAAAAATTGCTAAACTGTACACATAAATTGAATTCATTTTATTGCATTTCAACTATACCTCACTTAAACATTTAAATATTAAGATACAACATATAAATAGCCAAGGCCAAGAAACGTAAAAAATCTATTCTTGAATCCCAACCTAGCTTGTAATCAAAGAAATCTAAATTTAAAAACATATATTTAAAAAAAATTTTTTTATTGGAAAGTCAGATGTACAGAGAGGAGGATAGACAGAGACAAAGATCTTCTGTCTGCTGATTCAACCCCCAAGTGGCCACAACAGAAGGAGCTGAGCCGGTCCTTTATTAGACCCTTTCTGGCATGAGTCATGTTTTATGTGTCAGAATCTCTTCTATTCTCTAGCATATACCACCTGCTAAAATTAATTTAACATTAAGTATCATACTGATTGATATGACTGTCATATTTATCTGATTTTACATACATTTCCTGGAGCTAAACTATTTTAATGAAGATCTTTCACTAGTCATGTTTTCTTTCTGTCCAAGTTTGAGCTTCTTCTTTCTCTAAAAAAAAAAGCATCCTCTATGGAAATCAGTATGGAGAACACTCAAACAACTGAAAATCTGCATACCATATGATCCAGCAATAGCACTCCTAGGAATATATCCAAAACACCTGTTACACGAGAAACCAACATGCACCCCTATGTTCATAGCAGCACAATCAATAATTGCAAAAACTTGGAAGCAACCAAAATGCCCATCAGCAGAAGACTGGGTAAGAAAGCTATGGTTTATTTACTCCATGGAATACTACTCAGCTATTAAAAAAATGCAAAATGCATTTCTTTGTGGCCAAATGGGCCCAACTGGAAATCATTATGCTAAGGGAAATGAGTCAATCCCAAAAGGCTAGATACCACATGTTTGCCTTAATTTAAGTCGAAATGCTGTCAATCTGAAAAATAGCACCTGTAAAATGTAATATTATTTCAACCTCTAACAACCTGTATCTCATGCAACAACATATTGTGATGTAATCAATGAACCAACAATCAATGTGAGGCAGACTGCTCATGATCTACATCAAAGAACTGTAAAACCGAATGCACCCTATGCTTCTCAGCAATGGGGAGGGAGAGCAGAGAAATCTTCCAACTCCCTAGAATGTGTGAGGCAGACGTAAAAAGCATAACCTATCAAGAACATAACAGGTAACTTATAGACAACAGACTCGAATCAGCATTAGACAATAGTAAAACCACAAAGACATATGGGGTATCAAGAGTGATCCTGACAACCTCTTAACAGGAGGGCATGTGCACAGAGCAGGGGGGATCCCAGAGTGGCGCAGGTGGACAGGAGGAGACTTGTATCCCAACCCTGGAGATCCCCAGATCCTCACCAAGGACTATCAGTATGGGCACCAAAGATTACATCCCAACTTCCAAGGAGACCACGGGGCAATTGGAGTGCCTTCGGAGGCTAAGCACTCTGAGGTCATCCACTCCCATTTGAATCTCCCACATGGGATAGAAGAAGTCCAAATCCCTCACAGAGCCCAATGTCACCGGAACAACAGCCAGGAGCCCTGAGCGGTCTACAGAAACAGAATAACAATAAACTCCCTTCGAGACTAGAGAGATGAGCTTTCTCTGGTCCTTACTTAGTTCCAACACTGGATCCACATCTCTCTTGTAATGACCATCAGGGTTGCTCCGGAGCCCCCCCAAACAAAACAAAACAAAACAAAACAAACAACAAAAAATTAGAATAGACAGAGAACAAGGAAAACTTAAAACTAGATAGGAAACGATCAGTGGGGACTCACACATACCTTACTAGGTAGGACATGAAAATACATTACTCCTAACTAGGGCATGGAGGATTTCTCTGCGCACCCCTCCCAACAGTGTTCTATGCCTCAACTGAAGTCATATGCCTTGTTAAATCTATAAGCCAGTTTAGACTATCCTAAAATCTGCCAAGTTCAGTAAAAATTATGCTCCAACACAACAAACTGCTAAATACTAAAATGAAGATAGACATGAGACAGCTGAATAGTATCCTATAGCCATTTTAAGGTAGATAGAAGCCAAATGTATACAAACTAAAATTGAAATGTTAATGAAGTAGTCACAGGATGTGGTTAAGAACCTGCATTTTCTAACATATTAGTCACTCAATGCAATGTTAATTAACCTCATAATGTTGGAAACTGTTGTTGATGTTATGTTATGGTTTTTAATTGGTCAGAACGATATTTTGCCAGCTCTACCTTCAGACCAGAGATGGTCTCCTCAAGAAACTGTTGAATTGAGCTGGACAATAAGATGCTGGACTCTATGCATGGCACATACTTGCAATGAAAGAAACAAGACTGGATTTGAACTGTAATACTGCAATAATGTGGAGCAATCCACCATGGGGAGAGGGTACAGGGAGAGGATGGGGGAACATCAAAGCCTATGAAATGGTGTTATAAAATGAAATGCAATATATATATATATATTTCAATATATATAAAAGATTTATATATAATGTATGTATGTGTATATATATATATATATATGACTTATTTATTTTACTTGAAAGAGT